ATCTTTTTGGAAAAATAGTGATCATGTACATATGAGTTTTAAATTAAATCTTTTGGTAAAGTATTCATAATGTATATATTAATTGTACATTAATTTTTTATTCACAACAGTAACTGTTTGTACATAAAAATTGTACATTTAATCTGTTGTTCTAATATAAATGATTTATACATTGTTCAATGTTGATTCGTTCAAATGAAATTACTTAGCTTTAGAAAATCATAATTATATATAACAGAACATAAATTTTGTACCATACCAAACACATATGAATAAAATTATTATACCAAATCTTTCTTCTTATTAAATAATGTAGATGTAGATTAATTAAACAATAACATAGTTGATTGTTTTATAAATAAAATAATAACTTTAAATATTATAATTATATGTGAACAAATGTAATTTTAAATTGTAGTTTTCGAAGTTAATGATGTTGCTAAGTGTGCAATATTATTAGAATAAGATTTTTAAGAATTTAAATTTTTTCTTAATTAAATTGAAGCCTCGAAGGATGATTGCCATTGCACTATAAATAATTAGGTTAATCAGTAATATAGATCCAATTGTTTCATCTGCTCTGTAATATGGCACAATTTATTTTATGTTTTTGTTATTCCGCGATGTTAATATTTAATTTTTTCTTTACAGAAAAGTGGGCCAAATAAAAAAGTTTTTATGGCGAAGTCTAAGTGTGCTCAAAAATCACAGGCTGTACTACAAGAAGCTATTAAAAATTTACCACAAGAATTTCAAACTGTTGTAATTTCCTGTTTCGAAGCTGCAAAGAAAAGACGATGATACACATTAGAATGGATTTATGAATGCTTGTTGATACGTTTAAAGAATCGAAATACGTATAGATTTTTGCGTTGTAGAAATATTTTACCGCTACCATCTTTAGAAACATTGAGTAAATTCATTCGAAAAATTAGTGGCTCTGCTTACGGATTTCAACCGGCTACTTTTCATAGTCTAAAAGAAAGATGCGAAGCAATGACAAAAGGAGAGAAGCATGGAGTCATTTTGGTCGACGAAATGAAACTAAGTGAAGGCGTTTATTTTGATCAACATTCTATGAAATTTAGTGGTTTTGTAGATCTTGGACAGCACACCCCGGAAGACTTGAAAAATAAGACAGCAGATCATGCCTTAGTTTTTAAGTTTGTACCCTTCAGAGGTAGATGGGTTCAAGCTTTAGGCTGCTTCCTTTCTAGGAATGCTTGCAAAAGCGAACCACTTCATAAGCTTCTTTTAGAGTGTATTGTAATAGTGGAATCTGCATTGATGCTGTAGTTATGGATGGTGCATCGTGGAATAGAGGGGTTTGGAAAATTTTCGGTATTGACGACAAAAACATTAGCTGTGAACATCCTTATGATAGGTCACGACGATTGTGGATGATTTCGGATTTTAATCATTTATTAACATAATTACACTTTCGGAACATCTACTTTGGATGACAATTTACAGGAATTCCAGGTATAATAAAAAGTAATGCTATATCCAGTAAACAGAAGCACAGAAGATTATTATAAATAGTGTTATTGATGTTACAGACCCCTTATGGAATAGTCAAAAAGAAGCATTGGGAAGCTCTCTTAGAAGAGGAGAATTATCGTCAGCCCAATATGAAAATTGCCTACAAATTGACACCTGCCCATTTAAAACCTAAAGGCTTTCAGACAATGAATGTGCCTCTTGCAACACAAGTATGTACATTTTTTCAAGTATATTTTTTTTGTATTGAATGAATAGACTAAAGACTATGATCGATTTTAGATCCAGACGCTTGTTTGCTTTTATTATATTATTTTTATTCACTTTATTTTAGGTGTTTGGTCATGAAGTATCAGTTGCAATGGCTCATTACCAATCTGTTTGCGACAAATTAAAAGATTCTATACCAACGCAAAAATTTATTGATGTTGTTTATAAATTAATAAAAGCTATGTCATCACGCGAGCCAAAAAAAGCTCTGTATGTGAAGGAAGATTGCTGTCAAAAACAAGTAAGGACATTTATTTAGTAATACATAACATTTAAATGTTTTACCAACTACTGAATTTTGTAGTATTTTCTGCATGACATTTGTTATCATTGTCAGTTCTATTAGATGCTGCATGTCATTTAAACTACAAATGTTCACAGAAACAACAGAAATTGTACAGGAGTAATATTTTTCTGTTTTTGGATCCATGCTTTGTTGAAGTATTAAAGGCCTTACAACTAATTAGAATTATACTTTTCTAGGCAATTTTGGATTTCTTACAATTTCTTGTAGATTGGGAGAAAGTAGAAAAAAAAAATACCTGTATCAAGGAGTACGTTACTAGGATTAAAAGTAACATTGCACGCAACACTACAAATATCGAAAATGTTATACATGGAATGTAATTATGAGTATTTAATGACAGCAACTTTGTCACAAGATCCTTTAGAGGTAATTATACAATATACAATTTTATATTCAATTATAATTGATTTCACTCATTTTATTTCTTTATAAACAATTAATTTATTTATTTGGAATTTCCCCACTCCTTCATAGTATACTGCTTCACAATATGTTGATGCGTCACATTGTGCAGTTCTTGGGAGATTTTGGCGGCAACTTGATCCAGCAGACAGCTGATAGTTGGCGATGGTATCTAAAGGTGCCTATGCAAACAAACAGCTTATCTTGAGAATCCATCACCATCAGAGCACTTGTTTCACTGTTTCCACTAATAGTTCACATGCGTAGACACTTAATACACAAAATCGCAACACTTTTACATATCAAAGTCCACTTCGAACCATTATTTAAACAATAATACAGGAGCAGCAAACCGCCGCCGGTCAATTTCCCGCCAAAACTCAGATGGTCCTCCTTGTACAAACTGAAAGTTGCCACTTGCCAGTACACCAAAGATATTGCTTTTGTTCTTAAAATTCGCCAATAAAGGTAGGCAAAGGTCTTTGACCATACACCCTAGACAGATTTGTATTTGGTTCACAAAACTTTTCATTATTATGCTTATGAATCACATTACAAATGTAACGAAAATAAATAGTTGATGTAATAAGATCTCAATTTTATATAAACTCAAAATATATTTTAAAAATCTAAATTTATATAAACATTGAAGCACTTATAAGCAAAAGCGCACCACTTATTATAGGTATGCATCAAAATCCACTTCAAACCATTATTTATACTTTAAATCAGAAAAACCAATCTAAAGAGTATATAATCACATGCAACGGCGGTTAATTGCCGACCAAAATTCCGCACACCAAAAGAATGACCACATCTCAGAATATCATTTAAAAGTAGAAAGTTATTTTAAACTTGGATTACAAAACTTATTTTTTATTGGTAGAAAATATTAATTCCTCTTAGTCATTATAAAATACTATAGATTGCCTGAATACTAGTTTTACCAAGTAACCGAGTACCGTGTTTTACTTACTCAAACCGAGTACTCGATTGAATTACTCTGTTTAATGCAAACGTTTAATAAACATGCTCGCAATATTACAAAGCTAGTTGGCCAAAAGTACACCGTAACCTGAAAATCTGTTTTAAGACCCGTATATTTTTCCTATTACAGACTGCAGAAAACGTATGTTTGATGTGTGGTTAGATATCAAAGCAGAAAAGGGGAGTTTTAAGTATTGCTCATATTCCTAACTTTAATAAATATCTCCCTCTCTACATAATTAAAACAAATCCTCTTAATATAATAAAGGTAAAGGTTTTTTTTTTTTTTTTATAGGAGAGGGGGCAAACGAGCATGCGGCTCACCTGATGGTAAGTGACTACCGCCACCCATGAACAACCGCAACACCAGGGGAATTTCAGATGCGTTGCCGGCCTTTTAAAAAGGAGTAGGCTCTTTTCTTGAAGGTCCCTAAGTCGTATTGGTCCGGAAAAATCGCTGGTGGTAAACTATTCCACAAGGAAGTTGTGCGAGGAAGAAAACATCTTCTAAATCGCACAGTGGTGGACCGCCAATCATCCAGATGGTGTGGATGGTATCGGGAGTTCTGCCGCGATGTGCGTTCGTGAAATTTGGCGGCTGGGATTAATCCGAACAATTCCTCAGAGCACTCCCCATGGTAAATGCGAAAGAAAATGCTAAGAGATGCAACATCTCTTCGCAGTGCCAATGAGTCGAGCCGATCGGAAAGGACTCGGTCGTTGACGATTCGAGCCGCTCTGCGCTGGATGTGGTCAAGTGGAAGGAGCTGGCACTGGGGAGCCCCAGCCCAGAGATGGGAACAGTATTCCATGTGAGGCCGAACCTGCGCCTTGTAAAGTTGCAGGCGTTGAGCCGGCATGAAATACTGTCCCGCTCTGCTGAGCACGCCAAGCTTTTTAGAGGCCAATTTGGCCTTCTCTTCCAAGTGACCAGGAAACTGCACGTTACTCGATATGTCGACGCCAAGGATTCCGATACTGGCTGAGGCAGCAAGGGGAGTGCCTTGAAACTGAGGAGATACGACAAAGGGGTTCTTTTTAGCGGAAAACGCGCAAACTTGTGTCTTCAAGGGATTGAACTGGACTAGATTTAGTTGGGCCCAATCCGAGACTTGGTTAAGCAAAGACTCGACTTCAGACACAAGTTTGTTCCGGTACTCGGTGACGTTTTCCCGAGAAATATTGGCACGGCCGGTGTATAGAGCATCACCAGTGCTGTCATCTGCATAGCAATGAATGCTACCGGCTTGCAACATATCATTGATATGCAGAAGAAACAGCGTTGGTGATAGCACGCAGCCTTGTGGAACACCAGCGTTAATAGGCTTGTAGTCGGAGCATGCACCGTCTACAACGACCTTGATGCTCCGATCTGCAAGAAAGCTGGTGATCCAATTGCATAATTTCTCGGGAATCCAATAGGAAGGGAGCTTCGAAAGAAGCGCTTTGTGCCAAACCCGATCGAAAGCCTTCGCAATGTCCAAACTAACGGCCAATGCCTCCCCCTTGGACTCTACTGCCTACGCCCATCTATGAGTTAAGTAGACCAGAAGATCACCAGCTGATCGACCCCGACGAAAACCGTACGGGTGGTCACTAATCAGCTGGTGATCCTCAAGGTACCGCATGAGGTGGCAGTTTATAACGGATTCCATTATTTTGGAGAACAAGGGGGTGATGGCGATAGGCCTGTAGTTGGACGGGTCTGAGCGGTCGCCTTTTTTAGGGATCGGGTAGACAAAAGCTGTCTTCCATGATTTTAGGACTACGCCTAGGGAGTAGGAGTACCGGAAAAGACGCGTTAGAACCGGTGCCAACTCCGGAGCACACGTCCTCAGCACAATTGGGGGGATTCCGTCAGGCCCACTCGACTTGTGGATGTCAAGGGAGAGGAGTGCTCTGCGAACCGAGCGCTGTGAGAACCGCACATCCGGCATGGAGCACTCACACCGCGGGATGGTCGGCGGTGTGTTCTCCCCGTCATCAACAGTCGAGTTGGACGCAAAAAGGGAGCCTAAAAGGTCGGCCTTCTCTTTTGCGTCGTGGGCCATTGAGTCGTCCTCCCTGTGCAGAGATGGTAGTGATGGCTTACAGAAATTCCCTTGGACAGCCTTGGCGAGAGACCAGAATGCACGGGTTCCCGAAGGAAGGCTAACTAGTTTCTCGCCAATTCTGCCTATGTGCTCTGACTTTGCCTTGGCAATAACTCTTTTGAAGGACCTGGAGGCGAAGTTATACTTCTTTTTAAGTATGCTGGTGTTTACATCCCGAGTCGCCGAAGCCGCAGTCCAGGCTTGATAACACTCCTGTTTACTGCGTAAAGCAGTCTTACAGGAGCGACCAAACCAAGGCTGAGATCTGCCTCCGATGGGTACCACATATGATGGAATAAATAGTTCCATTCCCTGTAGCACCACATCAGTGACAGAGTCAGCAACAGCGCTGGGATCATCCGGCAAGAAGCAAACCCGCCCCCATGGGTAGGAAGCAAAGAAAGTCCGCATTCCGTCCCAATCCGCCGACCTGTAATGCCAAACACGGCGGCAACCTGCAGAACGCAACCGCGAGGGGAGCGTGAGTGGCACCACACTCCGGATCAGACAATGGTCCGAAGAGCCAAGAGGGGCATCGACGGAAACCTGATATCCGTCCGGATGAGAGGTCAGCAGAAGGTCCAACAGGGAAGGTGTATGATCCTCAACATCTGGAATCCGCGTAGGCGATGTAACCAGTTGTGTCAGACCATAAATTACACCATTTAATTTGGTAGATAAAACTCTTTTTATGCATGCATTTTTTAATTATCTTTAATTAGAAACATTCATTGGATTAATCTTCGAGCATAGAAAAGCTCGAAGGGATAAATAATATCGGAACCTCAGACAAAAACTAAAACAAGTATTATTGTTCTGAGATCGGAACTTAGAGAATAAACCATAAGTAATTTCTTTCCTTGTGAAATGTTGAATGCCACGTCAGATTACAGGACGAGCAACTCGCAGAATTATTCGTGGACGAATACAACGCGTTTACATATTCGTCATTTTAAATGTAGATGACGTGCGTCTCGTTGCCACGACTTTATGTATACTTGATGTTTATAGTCTCACAAAAATTTATTTGGAGGTTGTTGGGCGACCCCTCACCAGATGGAGTGACGACCTGGCATGCAGGAAATCGATGTATGCAGATGGCTCAGGAGCGTGCTTTGTGGCATTCCTTGGGGGATGCCTACGTTCAACATTGGACTTGTGAAGAGCAGTAATGATGATGATGATGAAATATTTATTTTCATTAATATTTATTTAAGGCCGATTTCCAGGACCGCATATTATGATATCTCCTTGATAAACCTCTATAAAAATTGTGGATTCGTTACCCCAATCCATCACAGTTAGTAGGTATTTTATTATTATTATTATTATTCATTATTTTATTTAAAAAAAAAACACCTGCGTCAAAGTTCACGATTCAAGCAAATAACGACGAGTATGTAATCGCCGATATGAATACATGGAAGCATTCCTTTTACAAGAGGTGGTTAATATAGCGCACAGCGCCATATTATAGCGCGCTATCTTTCCACAGCTGCTATGGCGCTATGAATATAGTGTGATAGAGTGGCAAGGGTACCAATTAGCCCTAGCTGATAGTCTCACTCGCGTGCGCGCTGTTGTGACTGGACGTATTACGCAAATTTGATCTAACTGCATCGCGTGTGACCTGGTTTATTATTAGACGTTGGTAAGTTAGTGTAGTAATATAAATAAAATGTCATAAGACTCTTCGAAAACAAGCTACGGTATACCTATGATGAGACAAGAGACATCAATGAACTTTTAAATACCTATGCCTATAATCTCTTATAATTTACATTACTCTATTAATTTACGTAAATTATTAGTTCGTTGCATGAGCAAGCAAGAAAAATCCATAGAAGTAGCGTTACGTGAGTGCTGGACGCTTAATAAACAACAGAAACCATTTTCAGATTCTTAGATAGTGAAGGAATGTATGTTGGAAGTAGTCACTGCATTTTTTAAAGACGAAAAAAGATGTTGTCGCTGCAATTCAAAGTGTTCCATTATCGGCGAGAAGTTATACACGAAGAACGGAAATTTTAGCTGCTGATAATAAAAACACTCTTCTTGAACTTCTGCAAAAGGCACATTGCTACGCCATAGCACTTGATGAATTGCCGTTGAAAGGTAACACTCGAGGAGAAGATTTATTCAAGGTCATTTATGAATTTATTACTAAATCTATCATTAGCTTTGATAAAATGATGTCGCTTGTAACTGAAGGGGCCCCAGCAATGATTGGCAAAGAAAAAGGTGTAGTAAAGAGAATCAGGGATAAAAACTCAGGTCTAATATCGTATCAGTACATAATTCACCAGGCAGCCCTTTGTGGAAAACTATATGCTACACTGAAAGAAGTGATGGACAACTTTGTCAAGTTCATTAATTTTATGAGATCTCAATCTGTTCTACAGCTCCGACATTTCAAGGAGTTTCTTTCTGAATGTGATTAAGCGTATTCTAAACACAACAATGTTCGTTGGCTAAGTAAAGGTCAAGTTATTGAACGTATCTGGCTAATAAAAGAACAAGTAACCTCCTTCTTGCAAAACTTAGATACGCAGGGAGTCAGAAAGCGCTCTGAGTTCATAACAAACAAGCGCAATATGCTGGTTGTGGCTTTTCTAAAAGATATTTTAAAATATTTAAATGCGTTCAACACAGAGTTACAACGAAATGGAAAATTAATATGTGATCTGATACAAAGCATGTCTGCTTTTCGCCGCAAGCTTTCTTTGAAAAAGATATTGCAAAACAAGCATTTATTCATTTTCCGACAACTCTTGAATATGAAAAGGAGAACTCTGAAGAAGACATTGCAGTTTTTGTAAAATTTCTGGCCGACCTTAGGAACGAATTTGCTACAAGATTCCAAGACTTTCCAGGAGTGGGCAAGCTATCTCCATTTCTTAAATTGCCATTTGAAGTTGATGTAGCGGCAGAATGGACAGATGTGGCTGCCAAGTTGTTTAATCTGTCAAAGCCATCACTTCAAATGGAGATAATTGATTTGTAAGAAGATGTGTCTTTGCAAATGTATAAAACGGTATCCACTGAAGAATTTTGGGCCAAACATATCCCAGAAAATTATGAGAATTGCAAGAAACCAGATATAAATTTGGCAACTATGTTTGGCTCAACATACATATCGCTCATTTGGAGAAACATCGACGTAAATGTAATTTTTTCCAAAAATTAGATAAATATGACAAATCACTTAGAAAGTGTATTTACGTTAGGAGAAACAAAGACGTAAATCAAATTCAGTCTATTTATCGGTAGGTAGCGCTAGCGTCGTTGTTGCATTTATGCTAACTCGCAAAGATCTCGCGGAAACAGCGACGCATCGGTCAGTTGCGCGGGGAGCTCCGCAAAGTGTATTTGTGTTTGGGTGCTACATCGACGTAACGGTAATTATGACATTATTTTTCGTTCTTTTTGGGGCTACAACGACGGAATGAACATTTTCGACATTGTTGTCCCAAAATATATTTGTTTTTGCAGAAGCAATGACATAATTTTTGTAATTTCCTATTAGTAATGTCGTTGTTGGTAGAAAAATATTATTATTTGGTTCAAATACGCTTAAACATTTCTTTGTGAAATTATTTAAATATATACATTTTAAAAAGAGCAAGCCAGCTTATTTTCACGATACCTGGCCAAGTATTTTTGTTGTGTTGTATTACATGAAATGTTCATATAATTCTTTTTTGTCTGCGTGAAGTCGCAGTAAACTTCCTAAATTCCACGTGGGATTATTTTAGTCTTTGAAGTTAGATTTACTTTTTAAAAATTTCTTTTATGTTGTATCATGTACAGTTAATGCATTTCACGAGCGCGCGTCAATAGTTGTAATTTAAGCCTTATGTGAATGTAAATAAAAGTCACATGACGCGCGCTGGTGATATATAATTTTGTTTTGATTTCCTATTCATTTATTTTTAGGTTATTTACAATAATGCAAGGACGTGGTAGAAAGTTGGTCAATTTAGTAATGGATAGACACGAACCATCATCTATTGACACAATGACGTATTTAAATAATGTCAATATTGTTGGTGTTGCTGATCAGAGTGGGAATGGTACGTGTAAAATAGGCAGACAACTAGACTGTTTTTTATTTTGGTTTTGTTTTGCTATAATTTATTAATTTTCTTTTAGCCAATAGAAATGAACAAGTTGAGAGTATTTATCCTGACTTGCCAAGTTTGCAAAACTCTCCGTATCACAATGAAGATATTTCAAGCATTTTTAATAACGTCACAGAGTATGACACAAGTAAACACGAATCAGAAACCTTCGAATTCCAACCTCTTCGTGATCTTAAGAAATCTACATCAACTTTATCCTCATCTAGCTCTGATTCTGAAGACTCGACTGCCAGTAAGTCGATTTTGACACAAGGGAACGTTTCCACATTAGAACAAGATAACTATGTCGTTCCTCTTGTGTCTGAATTCCAGCTCCATTTACCAGCCAATAATAACTCGCAACCAGAAATATCTGAATTAGTTTTACCAAAATCCATCGAAAATAGTGCAAATGTAGATGGCAAATATTTAAAATCAGACTGTGAAGATTTTTCACCAGATGACAGTGGTGATGAATATCAGCCAGCAAAACGCACTCGCAAAATGTCTTCATCTAGTTCAAGCAGTTCCTCTTCATCGTCATCAAGCTCATCATCAAGCAGGTCCACTTCTTTTCACTCTACTACACGCAGGTCCAACTTAATGCAATCTGGCGAGACTCTCGAGGTTATATCACAGCAAAATAATCATTCCAGTAACAATGTGATGCCAAATGATGGATCACCCCAAAATACAGATAATATTGTTCAATCTCCTAATAAAAATAAAAAGAAAAGGGTGAGGAATGAGGCTCAGTGGAAGAAAAATAAAACAAAACAATTAAAAAATTTGGGTAAACAATATACATCTCGCACTGGTAAAACTGTTCCTGCCAAAGCAATGAAGCCGCCTTGTTCAGACAAGTGTCGATATTTGTGCTCGAACAAATTTTCAGAGGAGCAGAGGCGTGAAATATTTAATATGTATTGGGCTTTATCATCATTTCAGAGACAACGTGATTTTCTTAATTCTGTAGTTATGGTATTCCTACCAGCCGTGCGTCGTATCAGAACAACGACAAAGAATAGAAAACCTAACACATACTATTCCCTAGTCAACAATGGGCAAAATGTGAGAGTTTGCAAAACTTTCTTACTAAACACATTGGGAATTGCAGATAGAACTTTACGCACTGTGATCGAGGCTAAAACAAGTGAAGGCTTTCTAGGCAGTGCACCAATGGACAGTCGTGGCAAGCATGATCATCATATTAAAACTGATCCAGAAGTCTTGGACTCCGTTAGAGTTCATATAAACTCCATAGCTAGGATTGACAGTCATTATCTCCGTGCAAACACGAGTCGAGAATACATTGATGGTGGTCTCACACTAGCTGATTTACATCGTGACTACAAAAACATGAGGGAATCCGATAAGAAAACTGCTGCAAACTATGATTTATACTACCGAATATTTAACATTTCTTTTTTCATCCCCAAGAAAGATCAGTGCGATCTATGTGAATCTCGTAAAAATGTAGTTGACGGTGATGAAGTGTTAGAAAATCAATATTTGGAACACCTGCGCCAAAAAGAACTCAGTCGAGCTGAAAAAAAGAATGACATTGAGACTTGTAAAATGGCTGAAAGCAATAGCATTGTAGCTATATTTGATTTACAAGCTGTGATGCCTGTACCGATTGGAGAATCATCAGCTTTCTTTTATAAGTCTAAATTAAATTGTCTGAATTTAACTGTAAGTTACTCTTGACTTTTTTATTTCATAAACTACAATTTTATTTCTTAATACAATAAATTTCTATTAATTTTTTAGATCACTGATATAAAAAACAAGGAGACGATTTGTTACTTCTGGTATGAGGCTTTAGGAGGTCGGGGTGCAGTTGAGATCGGTTCCTGTGTCTACAAATTCCTGCAAAAAGTATCTGATAAATATCCTAATTCTGACGTTACGTTTTATACCGATAACTGCTGTGGACAGCAGAAGAACAGGTGAGTTGGATAAATGAATTGACTATTTTCAATAATTCTACATTCTTAATCTACCTAAATTATGAATATTAATGTAAGTATTACATTTTATTTTAACGTTTCCAGATTCATTTTCTCAATGTATCTGTATGCCGTCAAAACATTACGAATCAAAACCATCACTCATAAATTTTTGATCCGCGGGCATACCCAAAATGAAGGAGACACAGCGCACTCGTTAATAGAAAAAGCTATTAAAAAATCTAAAAAGTCTGGGCCCATATACGTGCCAGAGCAGTACGTTCAAATCATAAGGTCTGCAAAAAAAAATGGCAATCCATTTATTGTAGAAGAGTTAAACTATGACGATTTCTATGATCTCAAAAACTTAGCGGAAGAAATTGGACTAAACACCGCAAAAGACGTACATGGAAACACCATTAAAACGAATGATATAAAAATGATTAAATTTCAAAAGGAAAATGGAACATATAAATTTAAAACTGGATACGAGGAAGACTGGACAGAAGCCGTTACAAAAATCTCCAGACGAAATAAGGGAGACACAAAAGATATAATAGATTTAACACTAAAGCCAGCGTATCGTGGAAAAATACCTATTGCTCAAAATAAGAAAAGTGACTTACAAGAACTAATGCAAAAAAATATCATACCAAGGTTTTATTGCAGTTTTTACGACAATGTTTTAAACATTTAAATGGTATCTACTTGGTCAAATTAAGCTAGGTACGTTAAATTTAATATTTTGTAAAAGTAGGCCTAACGAAGCTGTGATTGTCGTGCCTTTTGATTCTTTAAGTGAAAATTATCTATTATATAAGTTTAAGTTCCTCAAATATTACAAATTTTATTCGAAATAAATGGATAATAGTTTGATTACTTTCAAAATATGGTTTCATTTTGTCATAAAATCATAAAAAAATGTATACGCAGCACTCTGCGCATTATACTGAATCTTTGGGAAACAAAGACGGAATTGTAGGTATCCGACATATTTTTATTTATTTATTAGAATACCAACATAAATATTCAGCTTTATTGAAAACTACATAAAATTACATTAGTATAGCCACATTTTAAATATAAAAAAATAGGCAAGAGTCATCATCAGGAGACGGTAACACATTACAAAATAAATAAAAACACTTTAAATCACTCTCCTGTAAAATTGGAAAAATAGCAATTACGTCGATGTTTCTCCAAATGAGCGATATGTGAAAAAACTTTCTCAAAGATGAATTTTTTGAAAAACAAATATCGTTCGATATTAACGGATGCCCACCTAGAAGACACACTTCGAATTTGCTATTCCTCTCGAAAATCAACTATAAAAAACTGGTTCAAGACCGTCGGTGTAGTTTCTCAAATTAATTATAGGTCTTGTGTTTTATAATTGAGGATTAATTAATTAATTAATTATTATCAGTTGTTTTTTTCTGGACCTCGTTAAAATTTTCCCACAGTATTCGTACCCGTAAAACTACTTGCCGACCCCTGGTTTATAGTTTGTAGCGTGCTATTGATTTATAGCCGTTTTGAACAATTCTACGTTTTACTAGTACCAAATAATTTAAAATTTAAAATTTTGTACAACCGACTTCAATATAAATTATTAAAAATAACTCAAAAAATTTGATCAGACTTTGACCAAATTTATATGGGAGCACATGAGAAGGATCAAAAAGAGCTATTGAAATTGGTTACCCAAAAAAAGCTATGAGGTAACACATATAAAATAAAAAAAAATAAACAACATACAGTCGAATTGAATACCGTCTCCATTTTAAAGTCGGTAGAAAAGCGACATCGAGTGGAGAACAGATGAACACTCGGGCCGAGTAGCGAAAACACTCGAACCAGGCGCTAACATGCTCGTACTCGTGGTCATGCCGTCTCGTCTGTACTCGGCGGGTATCTAAACCGTGTAGCTTGTGGTCAAATCAAAGAGTATATAAGCATTACGTTTAATTGTTGTTGGTGGTAGGCATGGGTAACATCCACAAACTAGTAAGAAGTGCTAGCGCAGTAACATCGCTCTTACCTTATATCAAATCGTACCTATGTATTGGATTTGAATATCGGATATTGTATCTATATATTTCAATATCTATATATCGTGATGAACGCGATTCTAAAAGGAACTCTGTACTCAGTACCAAATGGTGATACGCGATTTATTAACTATTATGTTTATTTAGATTTATAGATTACAGATAACAATATTATTGTTTATTTATGTAATCTATATATAGCTAAGTCTAAGCCTACTAAGCCTCCCCTGTCCATCCGCCCGTCCGTCTGCCAGCGGGCTGTATCTCATGATCCGTACTAGGTAGGCAGTTGAAATTTTGACAGTATGTGTAATAACTCTAAAATATCAACAACAAGTAATAAAAATTAAAATAAATTAAAAATTAAAAGGGGCTCCCCTACAAGAAACATGGATTACGAATTTACTTACGTACGTACATGGCCGGTTATTTTTTTTTTTCTTAATGCACAAGTATATTTTAAAGTAGTGGTCATCTCGTTTTCGACTAGCATACCTACTCGTGTTGTGGGCTTGTGGACCTAAAAACCTCTCAGAAGTGAAAGGAGGTCTGTGATCTACAGTGGGACGTATATGGGCTGTTACTTTACTTTATTTTACTTTTTACAGGTGGTTGTTTCGAATCTGGGTGTATTTTATAATTATAAATTTCGTAACATATCCGACATTTGACCTTTTTATCAACTATGTCATATTTCTCAAAATAATCCCATAATATGCTTGTAAATAGACGAGACGTATTGTTTTATTAGGTATTTAGGTTAAATACAAACAGTGTTGACTTGGATCTGTTTAATACCAGTGTTTCTCGAATCAACAATATTTTAGCGAAAAAATTATTTTGTTCAATTTTGTTAATTTACTGTATTTATCTTAATCGATGTTTATCTTTTACCGAGTAGAATTATTGTTTTTAAGTTCCTATTGTCAATAGGTGAAAACTTTAAATGGCCATCTAGTTGTTATTCATTTATTTACTGTTTAAGTTTTCCAAAAATAATAAAATAAATAAACTTGAATCAATTTTAAATGAAATGTTTAGTACATAACATCTACGTATCTATGTGTTATATTACATTACTTTACACACAACACAGTTTAAGCATAAAAACTATCTATACAGATAAAAAATATGACATTAAAAAGTTACTTCAAAAATTTCGAAACTGAATCACAATCACAATCAAAAGCACGCTAAGAAATTAGGTAGCTTTAAGTTACCTGCATTTAAACTTTAATACGTGACGCTATCTTTACGTGCTGCAGCTATATTAGTAGTATAGTTGTATACTACTAATATAGCTGCAGCTATGTAACTGCTAATATAGCTGCTAATGGGTCGGCTCGACCGGGGAAGGACCACGCTCTCGGAGAGTACCAACGTAAAATAGCAGCTTAACGCTGCTGTGTCTCGTATGGTGAGTGTAGAGAGCCGGAGACCCCTTTTACTGGAAACGAGGCATTCTATCTTAGTCCTAACGGGTGGCAATGCATCTGCATTTTGGTTCATAATCGAGGATAGATGTAGATGTCTGTGGGCCGCAGCATCCACTTACCATGGTGGACTGTGTGCTCGTTTGTCGCCCTTATCCTATAAAAAAAACGAATCTGAATATAGAATACAAAATTCAAATTAAAGCGAATTGGTACTTAAATTGCGCTCATCGGCTCGTCAATCAAGGCCAAAGGCCGTGTTACAAATATTATAATAAATTGGATTAAAAATAACATTCTATTAAGCACACCATAAGGTCTGAAGTCGTTTATTTTAAAAACAATGCAACGCAACAAAATATTAATATAATAACTACTCGGAAGTGGGCACAATTTTATTGAAAATGATATTTTCGGTAATAAATCGTATGCGTCTACGAATAAGGATTAATATTAATACTAGGCGTAAGCGCATTCTTAGTCTTTCGTAGTAAAGTAGTCGTAATATCTGTTTACCTATATCTCGTATTATATGGCGTTCATGGTTTTTTCGGTTGGTTGGTTTCATGTTATTAGATATTCGGTTTAAACACGACAACGCTGTACTGCTACTGCAGCGGCAGCGGTTTCTCATTTCTCAATATCTAATACAGGGTTAATTTGTCATTGCGATACATAAATATTGTATCTATATACAATTTGTATCGCCCACTCCTAATCCTAAGTTGCTGGTATGCTGGTTGTAGAATAAATAGGAGTGGGTAATATCCTAATTTCTGAATATCATATCGAAACTAGATATTGACGATATTATGCCGTATATGCAGTTATTTCGATACCGGTTTCGCAACGATTTTTGAAAAAGTGGATACTGACTCGATATTTGACTACGTACGTACAGTATGTATACTACACTACAGTATATACACTATAGTGTATCCCTATATGCAACTTAGAGTGACTAGGTACTATTATGAAAACTAGAGTATGCACTATGTATCTTATACAATATATAACTAAACTAATTTCATAAAAAATAAAAAAAAATAAAAAAAATTATACTCACCATTAATGGACTATCCTTCATACTTTTACCAGGCTTAGGACTGGCTGCAATATTTTCAGTTTTTGAAAAACCGTGTTTTATTGTTTTAATAATTAATTAGGTACGTATATGTAAATCTTATTTATATATATATATATATATATATATATATATAAATAAGATTTACATATACGTACCTAATTAATTATTAAAACAATAAAACACGGTTTTTTCAAAAACTATACGACGACGGTATATATATATATACCGTCTCAGTATACTAATGCAGGCGTATTTATTAGTCCATTTGCTGATCTGTATATTTTACATTATTTACAATCGAATTAATACGAGACATTTTAAAGTTTTAATTTTACAAAATTAATACCTATAGTAACTACACACAAATTTACACTACAGATTTATAAATACACCGTTATAAATGACTCACAAATTATTTTTTCAGTCACCAAATTATTATGAACGAGAAACTTTTAAGTTTAAAATGTACTTACTGCACTGTAATAGTTAATAATAAGTAGGTACTTATATACAAATTATTATTTACATTTAAATGTGGTCACAAAATTAAATTGTTTTATATCGAAATAACACAAATAAACTCTAAAACAAAATCAAATTATTAATTTACAAACTTTCAAAACTAAGTAGAAACAACAAATAAATGCGCTCACTCGATTATTTTATTGTATTCATTCTTCATACTGTATATTATATAGTTTGACTTTGGATTTCGATACCTCTACGATACAATATCGTCGCAAATCGCGATCGGCTGTCGGGCACAACCAATATAGTGTTTCTTCCGATAGTCCAATAGTTTTTGGTTAGGCCGATATCGGATATACGATATTGAAGCAATATATAGATTCAATAACTATATGCGTTTTGTATCGCCCACTCCTAGAAGTGAAACGTGGAACGAAACGGCGGTCAAAGAAAGAAACGTCAAAAGGGAATGTTTATTTTTATTGAATAAAAAAAAAATAAACTTTAATCTGTCAAGCCTTTGAAGTACACATGAGGCAATCCAAGGTCAACTTTGTAGAACGCTCCAAAGAGTATGGTAATATTTAGAAAGGGGGTCCAGAACCAAAGAGTATATGATCACTACACTACGTTTAGTCAGAACCATAGTTATTGTGCTCATAACAATTATTTTTTAAATGTTATTTAGATGAACTATAAAACTAAAATTTTATTAGAATTAGTTTCGTTATAAAATTACGCTTCTTTAAATTAACAGAATTTACTTCAAATGACGAGTTTCCGCCTCGCGTCTTGTTTACGTCACATACTTTAGTCTTATATCCTTCGCCGCGTGAGTGTAAGAG